CACATCATGACTCTGTACTCGTCATCACAGAACTTTGTTACCTGCTTCTATCTGTTATTCTGACATGTATGCTAGCTATTTACCGCCGTCAAGGGTTGCAGTCCGATGCTGCTGCATGATAACTAACGTAATGTTTTATTGTTCTTTGCCCCTCTATTTGTTTTCAATGCAGATGTATTTTAGCTCTTGAGTGTCGAGGAGGCAGAGCAGTGTCTTGAAGCTGTTTCAAGCAGCAGCCGGACCCCATGACCAATGGATGTCGAGCGCTGGACCAGATCACCTAGCAGCAAATCAGAAAGTGAGTTCCTGTCAAAATTTGTGTTGGTTTCATGTCAGGGTTACAAATAGGCTGGTTGGGTGCTCACCAAGAATGCATGGTTTTGCGACATCGTGTTAATTGTGTGCTTCAGTATAGCAACCTGTCCATTTTTACTCCACTAAGCCTATACGTCTATAACTAACTGACTGACACATGTCCCGCTGCTGTTGCAGTCAACCACCTTGGACATGGTGAAGCAGTGGGCGACAGATGTGGGCGGTGGAGATTGCAACAGCCATGATGACAGCAAAGGCCACCTCAAAGCGCAGCCGTTCTGGACCTGATGTCGTCTTGACTGAAGCGGATCATGGAAACAAAGGCGAAGGGGAAGGGGGGCAAGAAACGACGGTGGTAATGGATGCACGTTTATTTTGGGGTGGATGCACATGCAATGTGATGGACAGCTGCATTGTCTTCTTTTGTGGAGGTGCCTTTTCTTAGGGCTGAAGGCATGTTCTTATCACATGGTGGACAGGGTCTTGAGACGGCTTGGCTTATAAGCAAATCCGTATCAAGACGCTGTTCATCATGTGATAAGAACACGCCTTCCTAGTTAGGATTGGAGGCGTGTCCATATGGCGCGATGGACATTATTAAAAAGCTTAATTTTGGACTGATAGGGGCATTCATATCACGTGATGTACAAGTTTCATTTTATGGAGACGGCTTCATTTTGGACTGAAAGTGGCCTTCATATCACGTGATATACAACTTTCATTTTATGGAGACGGCTTCTTTTTGGACTGAAAGGGGCCTTCATATCACGTGATGGACATGGGCTCGTTTTATGGAGACCACCTTCATTTTGGACAGAAGGGGTATTCAAAGCGTAAGGGACGTTCATTCTGAGCTACCTTCATTATGTAATGAAGTGGTCCTCATTCTAAATTGACCCGGGGCCCTCGATTTGGTGTTGAATGAAGGGTCCTTCATGAAGGTATGAAGGGTCTTCATTAAGGTATGAAATGAGTGTGAATCGCATATAGAATGAAGGTTCCAGGTTCCCAGAGTGCTGCGGAGACAGGATGAGTCACTGGGATCTATGCAGTGTGGCCCCGGGCACCGATGCTTCCTAGCAGGGCTAGGTAATGGGCTGGTGTGAAGTTGGTTGGAGGTTGACACAGATGGGAGGGGGCTTTAGCTCAGTGGTAGAGCGCGCGCTTCGTATGCGTGAGGTCACCGGATCGATCCCGGTAAGCTCCAAAGCACTGCACAAGCACGCGCCGGATCGGGCCATGAGGAGACCATTTTTCCGTGTGCACGTGCCGACATGGATTTGTCCAGACGTTTGTCTGAATTCGCTCAATTGTATAAAATAACTACGACTAGGTCTCTGGCCAAAGCTACTACGTTGTCAAAAAAGGTTCTTGTTGGAGTAGGTTAGGTCCCCCTTCGGTAATGTCGTTTTACTAGTAGCTCTTTCCCCGAAGGGGGGATGCCGTAGTTCCTAATGTAGTAGGCATATGGACAGAGCCTAGTTGTAGTTTAACTACATTACTAGTTACCCTTCGGGATTAGCGGAGCCAACATTAACGAGGGCTTTGCCCCACCGAACTACGTTGTGTCAACCTGCGGCCAAAAGGACAAACTCAGCAGCTTTAGTCGCTATTTTAGTCCACAAGACTGGTGTCTTTGTTGTGAACTAAGCCGTGGCGTTGGGCGGAAAGCAGATGTACATAACAGAGGACGGAGAGGGGCTTTAGCTCAGTGGTAGAGCGCGCGCTTTGCATGCGTGAGGCCACCAGTTCAAACCCGGTAAGCTCCAAGAAACACATGCAGATCGAAGACATTATAACATGTTACTATACTATGAGGGTTGTTTAAATAAAAGGAGTTAAATGAGCCTGTGGTCGTATGATTCCATCT